CAGAAGGCTGTTTCCTGAAAGAGACAGTGTCCGAGATGGGCCGATTTCATTCACTCATTGCACTCCTTGGTGCATTTTTAAAAACCCTCAGAGGTCCAGATCTGGTTTCTTTGAAAGTAACGGAGTTTGCGGCTTCCAGAGTGTTTTTAGTTTGGAGCCATAATTTGCTTGTTCATTTAAAGTGTTTGTTCACCACAGGCCTATTGCTGGGTCCCCCTTTGCACAGTATCAGGCTGTGCTTGTGAATGGCCAAGGGAAGCCAGAAGCAGAACACAGGAGAAGACCGGAACAAGGCAGGGGCTGCTGTGGTCTCAGGGGGTCGGAGGTGGAGGCTGACGGGCCTGTGGTTAAGGGTGGACGGCTGAGCACCCTCAGTGCAGAGCCTTACAGAAGAGACCTTGCAGGGGCAGCTGTGTGGGGCTGTGGGGCTCAGGCCCCCTGCGGAAGTGGACGAGACCCCTCAGGAAGATGGCAGCCAGATTCACCAGGGAGGGCTCTAAGATGGGCAGGCCCTGGCACGGGACGCTTAGGAAAGAGGCGACCTGGATGGGGGCAGCCAGGCATATCAGGAAGCCAGCAAAGAAAGGGAGAAAGCCAGTGGCACAGAGGGAAGTGGGGCCTGAGATAAATTATAAACTTTGGGAGGGGCCCAGGAGGCTGCCAACTTTGATCTCATCTTCTGGACAGGCCTTTGGGTTACTGCTTAGACCCACCACCCAACCACCAGAGAGTTACCGCCTTCTGAGAGGGGAGGTCCTGGCAGACACGTGAGGCCGATGCAGCAGCAGGTGGGGGCAGCACATGCTGGACGTGGGCCGGGATGCTGGTGGAGGAGAGGAAGGTCTCCTGTCCTGGGAGGCAGAGTCGGGGAGCAGAAAGTTAGGGCTCTGGGCAGGGGCCCCTCAGACCCCCGTGCCCAGCTCTGGGCCAGGCACACATAAGGAGCTCGCTAATTAACTGAATGAAGCTGGTATCTGTCTGAAAGCATGGAGTGCTCTTCTGTTGAATCCCTATGTTAACTTATATTTTTATTCTTCAGGATAAGAGTAGTTGATTCAAGATCAGAGTAGTTGACACTACTTGCCTAACTTCAGCTTCCCCCTTCAGGAAGGATCTTCTTACAGTTGGTGTGACAGAGGGCATTGAGGCACTGTTCTGGAAGCAATCTCAGCATAAAGACCCTCCATCTGGGGGGAGCGAGGACCGGAGGAGGGCCAGAATGACCTCTCCGGGCCCCGCTGGCTCTGTGGGATGCAGAGGGTGGACTTCAAGCTCTGCTGGCCATGGTGCAGGTCACAGGAGACCATGTGTTAGCAACTTGTTCCCTGCATCATGGTTTTCCTGCCTGTGACTGGGCTTATGTCTCGGCGTCCCCAGCAGAAGACCAATGGAGGAAAATAAATGGAATTATAACCTCCTCTATGACAAGGTTTAACCCCTGGAACTGGTCACTCTGAGAGGCCATGGGCTTCCTTCCTTGGGCAATTTCAGAGCCCATCATTGGGGCTCGTGGGGATGACATGGGCACTGAGAAACCTTACCACTCCTCCCAGCTCTTCTCCCTGAGAAAGGCCCCAACTTCTCCTGGGCTTGGTTTTGGAAGTGATTGCTAATCCTCTCCCGCTGGAAGCACTTCCTGGAAGGGCTTGGTGTATTCCTCCAGAGCGGTGGGGGTGGTGGTGGCTGAGATGACCTCCTCGGGTCTTGCTGGCTCTACAGTTTCTGCATCTGGGAGGACCTGAGCATATCCTGCCCTCAGAAGCTGTCAGAGTTACCTCTGCGGGGGCGTCGGCTCCTCTAGCTGCCACCCTCCCTCTAAAAGCTCCGTGCTGGTTCTTAGGGCCTCCGGACCATGTATTTATTTTCTTTGGCTCTGTCTGAAAATGCCACATCGTTTTTTTCCTCAAAGCTAGGTCCTCTGGGCTAAAAGCCGCTTCTCAGCTCTAGAAATGGCTGATTTTCAGCATGCCCTTTTCCTACCAAATTATTTCTTAAATTGCTCTCCCCCTGCTGGGTGTTCTGGGACACAGAAGCCAGTCTATGGGGGCCCCTGGCTTTTCTTTCTCCCTGAGAAGTTGGGGGAAAGCCTCAGTTTCTCCATTGCACACTTTCCCCCGAAGGGGGCAGGCCGACCCGATCAGGGGGCGGGGATGCTCGGCAGCCCGCGCTGGCAGCGGCGACCCTGGGTTTTGTGCGACCCACTCCGGGGGCAGCGGACCGCGGGGAGGGCACCCCCCACCCTCCTAAATGTAGCCCACCCGAGTCTGTTGGGGAGGCACACTCTGCTGCGCTCCGAGGCCTTCGGCCGCCCTTCCTGGCGCCTGGGGCCGCAAGAACTAGGCGCAGCCCCCGCCGCGCTCGGCTCGCCGGCCCCGCTTTGTGAATGGAGGCTCCGGGCGCCCCCGCCCCTCCCCGCCGGCCGGGCCCCTCTGGGATGGGCTGGAGGCGACGCGGGGAGGGGGCCAGGGAGGAGGGAGCGTTCCTGCAAATCACATGATTTTCCCGCTTATATAAATCACAGCTTGTTTTTCTCAACCGGCTGCAGACTTAAAGGTGCAGTGTCTTCTTTCTCTCCCCAGGGCAGGGGTGCCCCTGGGTGCTTCTGATGGCCCCTGAGCTGGGCTGGAGGTGGCTTCACCAATGAGGGTGTTAGTGTTCAGGGAACCCTCCTCTCCCTCCTTCCTGTATATTTCCTTTTAGCTGGAGACCAGGGAACGACATGGAAATAGGTGACCAAATGAGCAGGCAGAGGCGGACTGGAGATGTCCAGCAGCGAACTCCCTGGAGACCAGCGACCCTGAGAACGCTGATGTCCTGGACGCCTGTGAGGGACCTTGAGCTGAAGGGTTAGGATGGAATTGGCCGGAGGGAGATCTGTGGCCAAAATCAGGCTTCCAAGGCTGATGCTTGTTATTCTGACCAGCCGTGGCTATTTGTTTGAGGACAAAATATGTGGGAAGAAAAAGGAAATCGGCACATGTATTAAGCACCTACTGTCTGCGTTTTAGGCACTGTAGGGAGAAACCAAGACCTATTAGACAATTTTCCCCTTCAAGGGATTTATAGTGTTTGGGGTGATGAGATACAGACTGGGGAGAGATCAAACAACACTAGTCCATGTCAACGCCCATTCCAGGCTACATAGAAGAGTCACAAGGCAGTGCTTAATTCCCGCCCGATGCACAGTGCAGATAATGAGGCCTGCCGCCTTTGCAGGGCCCCAAAGGCCCGCTGGGAGGCCTGACTGAGAAGTGGCCGGAGGGAGGAGGGGACAGCCCGCTGGGGGAACTAGGGGCCACAAGCAGGGAGGGGTGCTGTGCAGTGAGCAGTCCTTTTCCTTAAAGGAGAAGCTGGAGAGTGGAGTAGGGGCGTGTGAAGATGCAGGCGCCCCAAGTGCCTGGCTGTGTGGACCTGATCTGAGGTAGGCAGGGTGTGTGGTGTGAAGGTGCCGGGCAGGGCCATGAGTGGGCACCAGGCAGCATGAACTTGAGGTGGAGGGTGACCAGCCCGAGGCAGTCGCTGAACCCAGGCGGACATAAGGCTCACAGTGCTAAGAGAAAGCAGAAATGAGAAGTGAGAGGTATGAGATAGACTGAAGAAAGACTTGAGATAATTGAGTGACTGTGTGTATGGGGAAGGGAAGAAATGACGAGCAGCGACGGCAATTTTGAGCTTTGGACCTGGAGAACAGGGCTCCCCCCAGTGGAGGGGTGGATGAGTGGCAGGTGAGGACCTCTGAGAGAGTTTGTAAGGAATGTGGGGGTAACTGGGACCTGTCCAGGGGCCTGGAAATCAGGACAGAGGATCCACACAGAGGAAATAACCCAAGGGATGAAAAAGAGACCTCAGACCTTCAGGGAGGTAAGAGCCAGGGGGCCAGCCCCCTGGCCTGGTGGGTAAGTTTCTGTGCTCCACCTCAGTGGCCAGGGGTTGTTGGGTTCAGCTCCCTGGCATGGACCTACACACTGTTCATCAAGCCATGCTGTGGTGGCATCCTACATACAAAATAGAGGAAGACTGGCACAGATGTTAGCTCAGGGCCGATCTACCTCACCAAAAAAAAAAAAAAAAAAAAGAGAGAAAAAGGAAATGGGGCTGGGGACTCCCCAGTATAGGCTGTGGAGGGAATATGCACCCTAGAAGTAGCCAAGTGGACCGAGTGGTGGCTCTGCTGGTGGCTAAGTCGTTCATTCTCTCTGAACCTTGGTTTTCTGATCTGCAAGGTGGGATCATAACACCTCCATCATATTCTGTGCAGCTTCAAGGACGCATATGAAGCATCTCGCAGGCTGCACAGTGCTTGGCACACAGCAAGTGCTTAATATAAGCGTAGTCATCCCCAGCTTTCCCCTCTGCTCCGTCTCTGTTAAGTGGCAGGCACTTGAGCACAGTTTCTCCCTTTTAAAATTATAACTGAGCTGTTGTTCCTTTTCTTCTTACTCCCCCTTCTCCTCTTCATCTCTTTCTTCTCCTCCTTCTAGAAGAAACACATGGTCTTGTTTGCATGACTAATTATTTGAACCGGACATAGCCTCCATTATACAGGAAGGAAATAATAAATTTGTTTCCCAAGCGCCTGTAGCTGAGACGGCTGTGACCTCATTGGATGCTTCCAGCAGCCCTGCGAGGAGGAGGGCAGGCGTTAGCAGGCCATTTTTTCCCCTCTACAGCTGAAGAAATAGAAGAATGGTTGTAAAAAGTCTTACTATTGTGTTTGAGAACTACACATCTATCAGGACCCTCTAGTTCAAAGATTTACAAACTTATTTTTAGCACTTTATGTTTGGAAATACATTTTATTTGATTCCTCGGTAGTCAAATAAAAGAGATGCAGGCAGCAGAGTTCTGGCTTCAGTGGAGTGGGGAGGTTCCGAGTCTCAGTGGCTCAGCTGCTCCCACTCCCAGCCCCCAGGCAGGCTGGGAAATGGGCTTTGCTTCTGGTGTGACCCAGCACCCAGAGCCTCTCTCTCTACACTCTGCTTCTTTCTCTTCCTTTTCAGCCACAACTTCCTGACTTCGAAGGCCAGGCTGGAGCCCAAGAAGGCTTTGCAGCCCCCTGGGTGTGCTCATTGTGTGAGCCAAGTGTTGTCTCTGGCGATGATGCCGACAGCCCGGCTCTCCTCGTGTTTCCGCTGCTGCGTGGAATGTGAACCAGCTGAGCCGGACCAGCGCTGCCCCAGGGCAGGAGGCCAGGTGTGCTGTCTCTGGACGACAGGCATGAGAAACAGCGACGCCTGATGTCACCAGGGCCTGGGAACCACCCTGCCTGGGGGATGCTGGCCCTCTCTGCTAATGTGCTTGGGTCCTTATTTCCTCTTTGAATGTGTTTCTTGAAAAACAAACTCTTTGAGGTGAAAAAAGTTTATGGTTTTTAGAACAATGGTTTGAAATAAAGCAAATACTGGTAACAGGCTCTGCAGATAGTTCTATAAAGCTGTGAAAGAGCCACGAATAGTTTAATCACCCTGTACAAAGCAGCCACCTTCAGGATTCATTTCTTCAAGTGGTGTCAATTCAATTAATCATAAAAAAATGATTAAAAGAATTTCATACAACTTTGCTTTTAAAATAAAATCTTGGTAAACCAGCATTCCAATCTCATGCTGTTATTTATTTTTTCCACTGATTTATCTATTTATTTACTTGCATTATAAAGGTAATACTAATGGTAAAAACAGAAATGCAAATCATTCTGCCGGGTATAAAATGAAAAGTAGAAATCCCCTCTTATAAGTTGTTCTCGTTTCCCTGAGATGATCAAAGTTAATGGTTTCTTGTGACGCAGAAATTTTGTTATATATGTGTGTGTGTATATACATCTAATCCAATATTTTTCCACAAATGGTCTAGTCCTATGATTTTTTTCCCACTTAAATATAGATCTTGACATACAGGTCTATCTCATTCTTTTTAATGATTGTCTAGCTCTGGGGTTTCACTGATTATTCTATATAATAGTCCCATGTTTAGGTTGTTTCCAGTTTTTTCTCTTATAAACTGCTACAGTAAGCATCTTTGTACATATTGTTGCATATTTGTGCATATGTTAATACATCCGTAAAATAAATTCCTGGTAGTGGAATTAGGTGAAAGAATATGTACAGACATTTCAAAAAATTTTATTCTGTGCTACTTAAGACATGCAGAATAAAAACAGCTTAAAAAACAATATTGTCAACACAGGTAAATGCTCCTTTGCACCACCCTGATTGCCGTCTCTCCCATTCCACCTGGAGGATGCCAGGATCCTGAATTTGGCACATATTTATGGTTCCCCTGCAATGCTTTGAATGTTTTCACATTTTATATAAATTGTGCTTTGCTGTACGTATTCTTCTGAGACTTGCATCTTTTCTTCAATATTATATTTCTGAGATTCTTCCATGTTGATACCATTTTTGAGCTAATTTCTTTTCAGTACTGAAAAACTCAAATTATATGAATATACCACAGCTTACGTATCCATTTCCTGGTTAAGGGATGTTAAATTTGTACCAGGCTTTTTCTGTTGCAAGCAATGCTGCTTTGAACATTCTTGTGTGTATCGCTCGGTTGTACACGTGTGGGGGTTTCTCTAGGGTATTTCCCTGGGAGGGAACGGCTGGTTCATAGACTTTGGGGATCCTCAGTGATGTTAGAAATCGTTCTCCCAGGTGGCCTTACACCTTTACCTGCAGTCAGTTACTCCACATCCTCGCCAACATTTGGTACTGTCCCACCTTTTAATTTTTGCACATTTGATTGATGTGAAATGCTTCTTGTGGTTTTCATTTTCATTCCTCTGATTACTAGTGAGGGGGGCATCTTTTCATGTATTTTGTGGCCAGGCATGTTTCCTCTTATGCAAATTGCTTTTGCGCATTTTTTCTGTTGGAGTGTTGTCTTTTTCTTATTGATTTATAAATTTCACTATATATTGTGCTTACTGGTCTGTTATGGGTTAAATAATATCTTTTCCCAATCTGTTGATTATCTTTTCACTTTTTAAATGGGTGGCTTTTGATGAACAGAAGTTGATTTAATGTAGTTGAGTTCTGTACTTAAATTTTCGATATTGTTCATCTCCCAGCGTATACTTCTGTCGACAATGTGTAGAGTAGATGCTTCTCCACACTCCTGACAACACTGGGCATTATCTGTTTTAATTTTTGTTAATCTGATAGGTGAAAAATGATGTCTGTCTCATTATTTTGATTTGTCCTAATCATGGGTAAGCTTGAGCATATTTTCACAGGGTTACTGGCTTTTTGCATTCTTTTTCTGTTTTTATTCTTCGTTTTTCTTTTGGGTAGTTTGCTTTTTCTTAATTGGTTTTCCTGGTTGATTTGTCAAGGTGTCTGAATGTTAAAGAAACCTGCCTCTGTTCTGCCACGTGTGTGCTGGACGCAGTGTGCATACCCCTCGCCTGCAGCCCAGTGACGAGGGGATTAGGGAACCTGAGCCTCCGGAACACAGTCCCTTTCTTTGGCTGTTGAACACTTGGCCATACTGAGCAATAAAGTAAAACGCTGTAATTGGAGCCTTTGTGGAGGCGGCAGGGGAACTAGCATGGTTCTGTGTAAGCAGGGGCAACGAGGCAGAGAGACTGTGCGCCCTGTGGGCGTCCGTCTGAGGTTGAAGCGGATATGAAAATGGAGACTGGAGAGAAAGTCTGGGTTGGGGACTTGGTGTTGTGGCCCGTATTCTTATTCCTTAAGTTTACTGTTACTAATGCTTGGAAGAGTGAGTCTGAGGTGGCTTGGGTGGTGAGGCTGCTCTTGGCTGGTGGTGAGAGCAGGGGAACTGAATAGTTCCAAGGGGCCAGTATGTGCCGGGCACACAGCCCTGAGGAGGCGTTATTAGGGGGGAAATGGAAGCTCAAGGAAGCTACTCCTTCCAGGTCACACAGCTGTACGTGGCCAAGCTGGGCCTCAGCTCGGGACCACCTCAGTCCTCAGTGCAGCTCTCTGCGGTATATTAATGGCTCCACCACGATGAGGCTCAATTAGGGGTGGATTTGGCTTTGATAAAGAGATTTGTCAGGAGAACCTCTAACAAGAGAGTAAAATTAGGACATTTTAAATAGATTGCCATTTCAACAGTGAAATTTCACATTTCTATGTTTTAATGTTAGTAATCGGCTTCAGCATTCCTTGCAGGAGAACAGAGGTAAATGAACAGTAATTATAATTGGACTCTATTGAAAGAGAGCAACAGTCTTATTAGTCCTGTTCACTCCTAAAAGAATGATCAACATAGAAACCAGCTCCAATTCCATTTTTTTCCCCTCTTGCATTTGGTAGAATTTGGATGACACTGAGCTTTCTCACTTTTTCATCCAGTGGCTGTTTGGTGAATGCACACTCTGTGCCATTTTGCTAAGGGCCGAGACAGTGGTGCACAGAACAGACTCACATCCCGCCCTCATGCAGCCTGCAGTCTAGTGGAGAGGCCAATCAGTAAACAAGTAAACAAACAAATGCCATACCTAGCGACTGTCATAAGTGCCGGGAAGGACACAGACAGGTGCGGTGACAGAGGATACTATGGGGGCCGACTATAAATGTGGGGAGTCAGGAAATGTCACATACATTTTGTGGGTGATTGGGTATTAACATTTATTTTTTGGTTAAAAATACCTTCTACAATCAGCCTCCTTAGAAACAGTTTTCTTTTAACACAGGAGAAAGAGCACCAGTCTCTGACGATGAAAAGCAGGACATGGAATTATTTCTTCTGGGGGCTGCAAAATTAATACAATGACACGGCTCCCTGGACAGACTCTCCTGCTCAGCTCCCATGAAGGAAGGTCCCAGGACCCCTTGTGCATTCTTTTCATACCATCTGGGTGTGGATCGTGACTTTTAATGGGAATTTCTCCTTTGAGGTAAGTACCACCACCCATTGTTCATGGGGGGACCTGAAAGCGTTTAAGGAGAATATAAATTCCAGGGCTCTGTCCAGAGCTAACATGAAAGCTCTCTCCTGAGTTGATGAAGTAGCTTCCTCCAGGCAGGTCTGGAGGATTTCCTCTCCTTCCCTCCCTAAACCAGGGGCAGCAGGACATGGCTTAAATGTGTTTTTGGTCCAGAAAACTTCTCTCCTAACGAGAGTTTCTTCAGTTCACAAACACTCTCATTTTGGTTGTTTGAGCCACGAGGAGGGTGCCAGGCTTTCCAGAATGGAATTTGATGATCGCGGTTAGGATCCACCACCCACCTCCCAGGACACTTTGGGGATTTTTAATTAGCGTGTTTTGCTTTTAGTTATGTATGTTATTTTCTTAACCCAAGGGCCATTAACACACCTAAGAAAATTAACGGTAATTCTTTGGACTCACCTAAATCCTCAGTCCACATTCAAATTTCTGGCTCTTTTATTTGGCCTTGAAGACAGCCTCTCTTTCTAACCAATTTTTCAAAAGTTCTCAGTCTAGCTCCTCTTCCTTCCCGCATTTCTTGTTCCTAAGCGAAGTAACAGATAGCGCTAGACAATTTCCAGGTGTTTGCTCACCTGTGGGAGAGATTTCACTTTTCAGGAAAAGAGAATAAAGGAAAACGGATTCGGAAGTGCACCTGATCTAAATTAAACGCTTGCCTCCCTTAAACTGGGGTTTGGGGTCCCTCTGGTGGCCACGAGGGTTTTAACACAAATCGGATCTTCCTGTTGTCCTCTTGTGGCAAGAGGCGGTATGACACCCTAGGAATCCTTTCCCTGCCTTGTTTGCGATCACAGAAATAAAGATAGAGATCAGGAAGGAAGTGAGCTAATAGTTAACGTTTATTTAACACCATAAAGCAGATGAGGCTCCGAGACGAGCCAGGAGCGTATCGACAGGTGCATGGCGTCTGCAGTTGCTGCCTACTCCCTGCAGGGTATTTAAGAAAACCCTCAATATGAAAATCCAAATGTACGAGTTTGTGTGGAGTGGGGTGTAGATATCTGGCATATTCTCATCTATTATGTTTTCGTCTTTATCCTATGCCCGAATCACAGAATTCTGGAACTTGGAAAGATCTTAGAAATTTGTCAACAAAATTTTATTGAATTTTACTAAGTGCTGTTGGGGACCTAAGGTGAATTAGATACAGGTAAGTCCTGTCCTCGAGGATTAACAGTGCAGAGGAAAAAGGCCAACAAACAAGTAAATTCCAGGTCATGTGACAGAGTGTGCATTCTGGGAGGACAGAGACGCAGAACGGCCGCCTCTACCCAGAGGTCAGTGAAGGCTTGAAAGAGAGGAAGCAGCAGCTGCTCTGTGTCTTGCAGAATAGGGGGTATTCCAGCAGGCTGGGTGAGGGTGGAGAGAGGAGAGGGAGGCCCCAGCAGTTGGAAGGCACACACAGGGAGGCCGGACATTGCATTGGGTGTCCAGCACTGCAAATATGGCTGTGGCATATGGTGTGAGGTGCATAGTAGATGCTCCGTAAATCCTTGCTGGATGAATGATGATGATGATGGTGGGAGTGGTAAGAGAGGAGTCCGAAGAGGTTATGTGGAGGGAGGGTCATAACCCTAAGGAATTTGAACATTATGCTGGAAGAGGTGAGGGAGGGTGGGGTGGAGGGCCATTGAAGCATTTCAGCAGCAGAATTACAGGATCAGATTT